GGTTCCCCCGGGACTCCGACCCAGAACCCTCTGGTCCTGGTTCCCCCCTGGTCCTGGTTCCCCCGGGACTCCAGCCCAGAACCCTCTTGTCCTGGTTCCCCCGGGGACCCCGACCCAGAACCCTCTGGTCCCGGTTCCCCCGGGACTCCAACCCAGAACCCTCTGGCTGTCCAAATGTCTTTACCCAAATAGCTTGTTTGTAGCACCCCCCTGAGAGCAGCCAATCAAAAACAGGGGTTCCCAAACGCTTTGCAGAACACTGAGAGTACGACACGTACCTTCCTCTCCTCTCCAGCGTTCTCCTCGTAGACGATGGCCTGCACCTCGTTCCTGTTCTTCATCAGCATGACGGACAGGTCCTTGTGGGGGAACTTCCCCACGGTGAAGGAGAAGTAGTAGGCCCCGGGGATGCGGCAGCGGAACAGGCCGGCCTTGGTGTCGAAGTCCCCCCCGATGTTGACGTAGACGGCGTCGAAGGTCACCGTCATCTTGGGGCCGCCCTCCATGCTGCTGGTGCGCGCCACGGAGAAGGCGGAGCGCAGCTCCACGCCGTCCCGCAGCCGGGCCAAGGCCCCGGCGCCGCTCAGCAGGCCAATCAGCACGCTCGCCCCGAGCAGCATTGTGTCTGCAGGAACCCGAGGACACACACAGAGGCCGGGTCTTACAGCAGGGTAGGAATGGGGCGAGGTGGTTTTGGGCTGGATTGAGTTTCGTTGGGTCCATTTTGGACCAGTTTAGGCCCCATTTGGGTTAGTTCAGGTCAGTTTAAGACCAGTTTTGGTCCGTTTTGGACCAGTTTGGGTTAATTTTGGACCAGTTTAGGTCCGTTTTGGGTTAGCTCAGGTCCGTTTTGGACCAGTTTGGGTCCCTTTTGTGGCAGGACGGGTAGACAAATTACATTTTTATATCAAATACATACAAAATAAACAGGGAATCGACAAAAAAACGTATTTTTTCGTTTGAAATTAATCTGCTCGCTACCACCAGATTCCCACAGATTTCGAACCCTGTTTTACAGGGAGCATTTTAATGTCTCAGGACAGCCTGAAATGTTCTATTCAAAATCCCTTTAGATGTAGTCACAATAAGGCCGAGCACAGGGGGCCGATGGCTGGGATGGAAGTGATTAAATGAATCTGAATTCCGCTCTGATTGGTCGGAGCCCACCTCCTCTCCTGAATCTCTCTCCTCGGATCCCAGATCCTCCAGAGGTCTGATGATTGTTTATTGTCAATTTTGTCGCTCGGTTGATCATAACACTTCTAATCCTATTTCCACCTGCCTTCCCGTCTAAAACGCCATTTCCCAGTTTAACGCACCGATGCTCATCTCTGTCCAGACGGATCAGAAACAACCAGAGAGGAACAGTATCCACGCTCATGATCAAATAAAGAAACGCACACCGGGTTATTTATTTATTCCGGCTGAGCGCTTAAACTTTATTTTTGGGAAGTTCCTCAAACAGCAGAGGCACATAATCAGTGACAATGAGACTAATAGGCTAAAGAACCAGACGATGGCTTATAAATAAATATGGCATCTGGAGGCAAAATAAAGATGGCAAAGAGGAACAAGTTAAAGAAATTCCCTGTCATCCAATGAGCTTTGAAGAAATAACAAGTGTGGATATTTCTATCTCCAGACAGGCCCGGCTGGCTCTGGTCAAATAGCCAAAGGCTAAATGAAAATCTAATGAAGCTGCTGAAGAAGACAAATATCTCCAAATATGTTGTTTTCTTTTCTTTATCCTTTGGCACACGTATCTATTATTTTTCTTAAAAATCACATTACGATGTGGTCATGAGAACCTGATAAAAAATCTCATTCTTAAGACAAAGAAAATAATTTAACAAGCACATTTGTAAATTTAAAAAAATCAATTTGCGTGCGTCCACATACATGCACTAATTGCTAAGCAGAGTTTGAGCCTCCAGGATGATTGCTTTCAGTAAAGGGAGTTTAAAGCAGCTTTTATTATTAGAGACAAGCGTTCTCTTTGTTTAGTTGTCCTCTAACCAACCAAACCACAGAAATCAGACCGAGACAGGTGGAGCTGTCAGTGCACCAGCTCTAAATTAAGAATGGACCGTATCATGTAGCAAAGTAAAGACAGAGGAAGAACCTGTGCCCCAGTGTCCTGGTCCAGATTATCTTCAGAAACACTGGATTGTTGAGATTGCTGAAAATAGTTTATTGACTGCCGATTGGAATGATTTAGTTATGAGGGATGTATACTGTTTATTTTATTAAGAGGCATTTGGTTTTATTTTGTATTGTTTTCTACGTTTGGTATTTTGAGTTATCACTTAATGAAGCTCCTTTAATGCCCAGAATTTAAGCAACGTGACGTGCAATGTACGTAAAAAAGGTAATGGAGCCGGACGAGGAGCAACAGTTTTTTTACCATAAAGTTAATGTTTTGGTTTAGTAAAGTAAATTTTTTTACATCAGTTTGCATACGTTTTTAAACCAAACAGAACTACTCAGAATCTTAGGAAAATGTTTAATTTTTGAAGAAAAGGTATTTAGCCAATACAACCAGAGTCTAATGACTGAATGCTGTGGCTAAAGCAGACTAATGAAACCTTTAATCTGGTGAGTTTGATGTCTGACGAGGCCTTTAGTGGCGTGTTTGTCAGAGGAAAACTAATCTATCATGTCACCAGCTTTAATGCTCACTTTATTTTTCACTATGCATGAATTCCTCCACATCACAACACACTCAGTCTGGTTTTCTCCCACATCAGATAATGAATTAATAACCCAGCTAGTTATCTGTACACATCCGAAATGTCATTTAGTTTTCCAGGTTGAATGACTACAATGGCCCTGAGTTATTTGCCTTGGCAAAATAAACGTTCCTGTTTTGTGTTTAAACTAAATCGACCTCTTTAAACGGAGACTAATTATAGGGCTTTAATTGCTCTTGAGGCACTGAGACGCTGCTGATGGTTTTCCTCCCGCAGCTGCAGGAGGAAACGGATCTATACGGCGAGAGAAAGGAGGTTTTAGAGCTTTTAGAAATATCCACAGCCGAGATGTTTAAATGCAGCTAGCGTGCAGCCTCCACCGAGCTGGAGGAGTCTGTGAGGAGGGATCTGCACAGGGAGAGATGCTTCAGGTCCAAAAGGCTCTAACGTGTGGATCAAACGTCCCCCGTAATGAGAACCCACGGGAGGGAGGCACGGCGGGCGAGTTAGTGTATGCAAACATGTATTTATGCAGAAAAGTGTGGGCTTATGCTGTTTAAATGCTGTTCTGAACTGTGACTCTGTGGTATTTTCTCTATTGTTAAAGGAGGGCACTTCAACTCTTAGATTTACCGTATATGCATTAGATTTTTTATAAATTCTTAAAATACACATGAATAAAAAACTTTAAGCAGTTTTCAATAAAAAAACAACATAAAAAATGTTTCCGCATATATATATTGGAGTACTTCTGGTCAAATTATTGCATTAAGAATATAAAAAATGTGGTATTAGTGCACAAAAATGGTTTAATAAAAAAAAAAGAAGAAATTTTGTTGCTTTTTATGGTCGGAAACTGCTTTAACAAAGCTGATATGTCCGGATTTGTAATCGGAGACACTCGATTTGTGCCCCACCAATGATTTGGCTCAGATGCTGGAGGTGCAAACAGAAGCCGCACAGAAGGGGGGGGCAATGAGAGGGAGATGAAATGAGCATGTGCATGTGTGGTCTGCACCACTCTGCTGAGGGGGGGGGGGGGGGGTTTCACACCTCACGTTCTGACCTGTTCACAGCAACAAATCCCACATAGATTCATTTTTTACTGATCCAAGCAGGAAAAGAGCGGCCATTTTTTTAGTTTGATCTAAACAAAAGATAACAGGAAGAACAAGACGGTTCGCCAAAAAAAAATGAACAAATCAAAAAGAAAGGCAAGACTAGACAAAGAGCAGAATGAGTAAATCAGACTGGAGGAGCCTGATGGTAAAAACGGTGGAGACAGACTGGGGACAGGCAGGAAAACCAGGCGGCAGATATTCAGAGAGAAGCAATTAGTGAGCAGAACCGAGGACCAGACCCGGTGAGGAGGGAGGGGAGCTAATGACCAGACTGGAGAAACGCAGCAGATTAAAGCGGGAAAAGCCAGAAACTGAAACCAACGGAGAAGAGCAGGAAACACAGAGACCAGTGGTGGAAACCACTAAACCCACAACAGACCGTTAGCCCCGTTCTTTAGCTGGAAACCTGAGAACAAACCAGAGTAAATCAAAAGTATAAAAAGGACATTTATTATGTCATAGTTAAGTGACAGCTGGGCTCTGACAGACTAAAACCTCTCTCTGGGTCTCAGTGGGTTAGAGCCCTAGTTGTCCCTCAAACAGGACTGGACACTACTGAGTGCTTATTGGCCAGTTATTTACTAGCCCTAACCCTGACATGAACAGGCCAGGTCCTAATTAATGCAGATAACCCTGGAAGGTGGTGACAAAGTTTGTGTGTGTGTGTGTCTAATATGCAAGGGGGAGAAAAAGAGAAAAAGAAAATTTGTGGTTACAGCCAGATAATTTAACACAAGAGTATAGTTCTAAAAATTTATATGACAATCTGTAATTGACACAGATCATGTGATAGCATATAATGCTAAAGTGAGTAATTAGAGCCAGATTCTATCAATCCCCATCAGTCCAGACCTGATGACAGATCTGAGGTAAAGTCCAGTCTTTCTCCTGGTATTGGCACTCTGAGGGGGGGTAAAGTGGTCGAACCCCACTCATACGACCCATGAACTAGCTCTCAGAGCTAGCTCTGGTTCCCATTTCCTCCATCTTTTATGCGGGTGGCTGCAGGCGGGGGCCTGTCTCCCACCCGGGAGATCAGGCCCAGTAAAACCAGCAGATTAAGTTTTCTACCCGGGTTCGCTGAGGGCTACAGACTGGAGTTACACCAGTTTACTACTGGTCCCAGTGGAACAGCCCGTAGCTATCCGGGATCCTCCTGCCTGCATCAGGCCAAACTCCACATCCCAAACAGTCAGATAACTCCAGATAACCGGGGAAAAAAACCTTCCCAATTGACTTCCGTGCCTAACCCAGTACACACATTCAGATTAAAAGTAGGAAATTTACTACAATTCCACAATAAGCATTTCATTCTCTTCTCAGAATCAGCAGTTTACAGATACAGTTAACCATTTACAGCTATATTAAGTCTTATTTTGGAAGGACAGTATGAAATACAACAAAAAGCTCCATGTCTTTTATCTCTATTAGGTTGTTGCCATATGTTGTAATTGTCCCTGTATCCATCCTTGGTTCCTTCCCTGTATCATTTCCTGACTCCTTCCTTGTCTCCTTCCCTGACTCCATCCCTGTCTCCTTACTTGTCTCCTTCCCTGACTCCATCCTTGTCTCTTTCCCTGTCTACTTTCCTGACTCCTTCCATGTCTCCTTCCCTGACTCCTTCCTTGTCTCCTTCCCTGACTCCATCCCTGTCTCCTTACTTGTCTCCTTCCCTGACTCCATCCTTGTCTCCTTCCCTGTCTACTTTCCTGACTCCTTCCATGTCTCCTTCCCTGACTCCTTCCTTGTCTCCTTCCCTGACTCCTTCCCTGGCTTCTTTCTGTCTGTAGAGCCTGCTTTTATTTCCTG